CAATTTAAATTTTAAATAAATAAAATTTTAAGTTTTATGTTCATATAATTTTTTTTTCAAAAAATGATTTTGAATTTAATTAAATTTAGTATTAAATAATACTTAAAATATACTATATATTAAATTAAAATCATATTTAATTAAAATATATACATAAAATATTGAAAACTAATCATTATCAAGTAAAGATATTATATTTATTTATTTGAGTTTAATAAAAAACTGTAGATAAAAAAAAATGATATTTTATAAAAATTTTTATGTAGTCTAATACTTTTGGGTAGGGAGTATATAAGGATAATTATTATATTGAATAATATAAATAATAATCTAAATATTTATTTATTTGAAGATTTATAATAGATATTTTTGAAGACACTTTATTAAAAAAAATCATATCTATTAAAAACTAAATAGTTTAAAAATACAAATTAAAATAAAAATTAAAAAAATAATTAAAAAAAAATTAACTAAAAAAATTAAATTAGAAAATTAAAATTTAACTGAATCAGTTTTAATATAAGCTAATACTAATCTGATCTTAATCTAAACATAAACTAAGTTAAATCTAATAAAATCATAATCTGAATATTATCTGATTTTAACTTGAATCTAATCTAAATCTATTTTACCATATTCTAAAACACATCTGTATATAATTCTAACTAAATCCAAATATTTACTTAAATATAATCTAAATATATCTCAATCTAATTTAACTAAACTAAATCTAATCTATGAATCTAACTTTATACTTGACTTTAAACTGACTTAATCCCAACTTAACTTTAAATTGATACTAATATAATTATAATTCAGTTCTAATCATAAATTTTATTCATATAAATTTAATTAAAATTTAAAATCATTATATTAAAATTAAAAGATTAATATAAAATAATTAATAAAATTAAGAATTAAGGTTAATTTACTTCTTTTTTATTAATATAATTTAATGTATTGCAAAAATTTGATTTTATATTTTTATTTATTATAAGTGAATTTTAAATATAATTAAACTAATTATATAATCAATTATTTAATGCTAAATAGAATATAAAGTTTTTTATAAACTATAAATTTTAGTTGATAAAATAAACAAAATCTTTATTAAATAAATTAAAATCAACTTGAAATTATTTATAAAATTAAACTATAAGCAAAAATAATCAATAAGTTAATTTAATTTTAATTATATAATAATTATCTGAAAAATAGATTTATTTATTTCTTATTTAATCTTAATAATAAGATATTCAAAGAGATCTAATAAGGCAAAATTTATTCATCATATGTACAAAAAAGGTTTATGAATCTATAACTCAATTTTTATATAAATATTAACTCATATATGGGTTATTATAAGAATCTAATTCAAAATTAAAAACTGATATCAAAAAGTTCGATCAAAAAATTTAAGCCTTAATTAAAATACCTAATTACTTAAAATATAAAATACTGTAAGTATTTTTATGATTAAAAATCAAATTATAATTAATAAGTTACTCTTTAATTTAATGCTTATATCAAATTACTTATATAAAATTTAAAAAGAAAAATTAAAGTCTATTTTTAAAGATAATAAATAAAACTATATATTTAATATTATTTAACTTGAAACTAGTATATTATAAGTCAGTTAGATATTATATAAAAATGATAGATTTAACTAAAAGTAATAATCATCATTTAATGCGAATTCTTAATAAAAATTATAGAACTTATTATGTTATTTTTACTTTAATAAATATAAGTCAAATTACTTTTAAAAGATATTTTCATAATAATAGAGTTTTTAGAAGAATTAGAGCAAAAAATTCTTTGTAAATATAGCTAATAAAATAAAAAGATTAATATAAGCTAAAAATAGAAAAATTTTTAATAGACAAAATTTTAAATAAATTATTTTTTGTTATAGAATATGCTAATACGGTAATCTTTAAAATAATTTATTAACTTAGATGATTAAAAAAAGATTAGTATTTTAAATTACAGATAGTTTGAATTACTTATATAATGAGAATACATTATATAGGATATTGTAATCATTTTATATATTTTATTTTACTTAAATATACAGTACAAATATAATTAATGATTTATTAATATTATTCTATTTAACATTCTAAAAATATAGTTATTCATGAAAATAATGCTAAAATTACAGATTTGGTATTTTAAAATTTGAAAATAATTCTATGATACAAATTGAACTTTGTGATATATAGAATTACAAATGCTTATATATTAAAATTTAAATATATTAAATCTTCAGATATTTAAAATTATGGTGTATTTAATGTGAAAATTTTCTAGTGAGTATCTGCCATTTAGAGATTATAATAATAATTTATTAAATGTAATTATTAATAAAACTTGTGAGAATACTAAACTGATACATTCAGAAAATATGAAAAATTTTATAAACGAATTTAGAATCATGAACCTGAGTAAAAACCAATATTGAAAAAATATTAATAGTATTGAAAGATTTAATAAAGACAAAAAGTTTTAAAAAGGAATTAATAAATCAGCTGTAATATATAATATAAAGTATATAATACAGTATTCAGCTAAAATGATAAATGGCATCTGAGTCATTTGAATGTAATGTTAGCCAGTACTATGGTTCTGGTCTGCATTACGTTTGCTTTATTTTTTTTTACTTTACTTTTCAATTGAAATCACATGATATGGTATCAACCAGTCAAAATCAAATGACTGAAATGATCAAATGCCAAAGGATTAGGAATAATGACAAATGATTGGGCAAATTATTTAAATGGTCAAATGACCAGGTTATTTCCGAACACTGATATAATTGGTTTATTTTAATTAATAGGAATTGTAGACAAGATACTTTAGAAATGATGATCGGTATATCTAGAACATTCTTGAATTAAACTAAATTATATTTAATATTTTAGTTACACATGCATATTTCTCTAAATTAAAAGTAAAACTTCATATCTCTTATCCTAAGTTTTTAAAAACTTTAATTGAGCACTGTATAGAGTAGCAATATAGTCTGAAATCACTTACATAAATAAATTATGTACGTACTTTTCTTCCTTCTAACCTTTGATGATAACTTAAATTCTAAACATAAATCCATGTGATACACCTTTTTGCGCAGCAGCAGAAGCGAAAAAGGAACCTTAAAAAATAAAAAATAAAGTTATTCAGCGTCTCGATGCAATCAAACTGAAAATGAAATAAAAATAAATTAAACGAAACTTATTATTTGTTCTAAGAGAAATAAATCTAAAAATAATAATCATAGAATAAAGATACTGTCTATTATTGATTCGACGCAGCGGCCAGAAGAATCGAATATTACTATTTATTATTAATTTATAGTATATTACTTTTCCAAATTGGTATTAATGATTATTAAATCCCAATTAAATGGTAATTTTTATTAAATTTCTGAATTGGCTAAATTAATTGCCAAGTGCTTATAATTATCATTATGAAATGATAATTCAATAATTTACAAAAAACCAACTTAATATTAATTGCTTTATATACAACTTGAGTAAAAATTACAATGGGTTAATCTATGATTATGCTTATACAACTTAAAGTTGATTGTTAGAAAAATCAGGTTCCGGGAATTTTTTAACAAAATTGAGTTTTTTATTGCATTTTCGTTCTTGATTAAAATGCAAATATTAATCAAAAATTTCTCGGAACCTGAAATCTTCCCATATAAATAATGAGTGAGCTTACTATTTATAAATTATCATTGTTCTATACTAAACCTAATTTAGCAACAAATTTAACCAAAAATTGAAAGTGCCAGGAATCATTACAAAAGAAGACTTTCTACATAAACAATATGGGTCGGTTAATAAACTTAAAATTCTGTTCGGGCCGGCATTATAAATTTGTCCAGAGCTAGGTATCCTACAATCTTAATTCTGACCAAATCTTGTTATGGCCGAGTTAGGATTGCTATTTTTAATGTAATCAAACAATTCCCAATAAAAAATGTCATTGATAAATGACTTTTTCTAGGCAAAAATCAAGTTATGTATGTACATCAATAAGGATTGTCATTCCATAAATGACTTATTTTTGCAGACTTTTTTTGCAGATCATTTGTGAACAAACTTTATTTAATCGCAAAATTTTCTTTTTGTTTTTCACATCAGAATCTTTCAACAATTTTAACAATTTACCATGAACATAATAAATTCACTAGGAGCAACAGATTTTATAGGAATAATTGTATCGATTATTCTTGTATACTTTGCAAGATTTTATTACAAATATTTTACACGACCAAATCCTTTGCCGGGACCAGTTCCACTTCCTATTTTTGGAGATTTATTGGCAATCTTTTATTATGCCAAAGGCGATGTGACATTATGGTACAAGTTACTACAGAACAAATACGGCGATATTTTCGAAACTTATATTGGAAGTTTTCGAAGAATTGTACTCTCTCGAGCAGATTATGTTGAAAAATTAATGTCACCGTCCACAAAAACCAATTACGTATTGAGAACGGAACAAATGCCAGAATATGATGAGATAAACACTACGGGAAAAGGAATTACATTTAATACAGACATTCCTACTTGGAGATTTAATCGACAATTCTTTTCACAAGTAGTTCTTACTCCGAGTTTCTCAAAAGAGGCCTTACTTAGTACTCCGATACTTTTCAATGAATTAAATGGATATTGGAAAGAAATCGGAGATGATGTACCAATTGATTTTGCGATTTGGATACATAAATTCACCACTGAAGCTATCTTTCAATTGGTTGTTGGAGTAAAAGTTAGCGCAATGACAAAATATTTTAATGATAACGTAGAATTATCAAAGAGAAAGTATATTGAGCCAAGTCATATAGATGAAAAAATTAAAAATTTTGATCAAATCATTGATACTCGTCTAAGAAATACAATATTTCTCTTTACAGTCCCGGCTTTTTTAAGGCAAACAATTTTTAAAAAAAGGAACGATGCAATGCATGAGAATAGAAATATGACCCAAAGAATTATAACGAAAATTATTGATCATCGTCGAAAAGAAATTGAAGATCACAAGGAAGTAAAAAGTAACCTGTTGACATTATTAATCACAGCCAATACTGAACATGTTGATGGGGAATATTCTAAACCTTTAACCAATGATCATATTTCTCAAATTCTAATTGAGGCTATTACTGGAGGAATTGACACAACAGCAAATTTATTATGTTTTATCGTATATCATATGGCTCATTACCCTAATGTATTAGCTCGCTTGCGAGAAGAATTAAATACCATTTTTGGTTCTGAAAAAAATCGTCAAATTACGATGGAAGATCTTTCAAAAATGCATTATACAGAAGCTATAATCAAAGAATGCTCTCGTCTTATAAATCCCTCAAAATTAGTTCAACGTAACTCTTCCTCCAAAGACACTATGATCGATCGTGAATGGCCTGCAAATACTGCATTCATAGTTTATATTGAAGGAATTCATCATAACCCTATTCATTGGAACGATCCTCTTAAATTTAATCCTGATCGATTTATGGAATCTGAACCACAAAAGAATACATTTTTGATGTTTGGAGGAGGAGTGCGGATTTGTCCAGGAAGAAAGTTAGCACTTGTAACTATGAAATGTCTAATCTCTTTGATCTATAGAAATTTGGATATTTCATTAGTAGATATGGATGCACCTTTAAAATTAAAGAATACAATTGTAAACACCTGCACTGAATTAAAGGTTAAAGTTAAGCAAAGAGAATCGCATGTTTAATTTTAATTCTACTTAAATAATTGTGCACGTTGTTTGAAATTATTTGTTAATTTTGAAGTTTATAGTTTCATTATTTTTATCTTTATTTTTTTTTGTTGTTTGAATAAATTCATAAATTATTTAGTTTTATCTTTAACAAATAAAATATTATTTTTTTGATTTATCTTAATTGGCAGAAATTACAGTTTCGATCGTAGTTCCACAAATTTTATAGTGCCAACAGCCCAATACCTGGGTTATAAATTATAACTTCCTTTATTTAAATCATTGATGTTGTTGAATATAAAATTGTTATGGTCGGGTCGCACGTGATATTAACTACGTGATTGCATTTTTATTATGTTTGCAAAAATTGTTACCAGATTATAAATATTGTATACCCCACCTCATTAATATATTTAATGCTTAGCTGATTAAAATGAACATAGTTGACATCTGATCTCTCATTTGCATTTGCATGCGTCACGATGACTCGGTTCTTTCATCTCTGATCGAAATAACAGATAGTTAGAATGATCTCTTTTCGCTAATTAATTAATTGGTCCGAGTCATACATAAGAATGGGGACGGTTCAGCATATCCTTAGTTGCCTTAGTTACTTCCAATTTTAAAATCAAACCGATCAGCCCAGACCGGCTCAAATTAAAAAAAAAAAAAATATTTTTTATTTATCACGTTAAAAGTTAGGAGAACCGAAGAGGAACCGAGAGAACCATCCACATCCAGCCATGATTAAATGATTTTATAAATATACTTCGATTTTGTTTTTGATTTAAATAGGGTATTGATAGTTGATTTTTAATAAAAACTCGTCTTGATAAATTATTTTTTATAAATTGATCACCATTCTCCATTGTAAAAAAATCGTTCTCGAAATCTCACAAAATAGGAGTTGGTGACACATGGATTTCAAAATTTGATTCAAATCCGTCTACCTATTAAAATTTTAAACTAAGCAATATTTTTTGAAACCGTAGACGTCACAACGGTTCACGTCTTATTTGCGTCTATCTTTCTTTTTACCAAACACTGAAAGAATGCAACATTCGGGTAACTGGAAACAAAGAGATACTTTAAGCGACAAATAGTGATAAGTTAATCTTTAACATAAAAATTATTATATACTTGCACTTTCAAATTCACATAATTAAAATTTCTTACTTTAAATAATTAGGCACTTAAAGACTATTAATTAACCTCCAAATGGAACTGCTGGACCAATCCAGCCGATTGTAATTATTTAAAATATGAAAGTTTAGCTTGTTCTTTCTCGTTTTCGGCGCTAAATTATTTTTTGAGGTTTATATACAAAGAAAAAAAAAAAAAGTTCTATGCCGGAATTTTAAAATGTTAATCAAAATCGACTTAAGAGATTAATATGAATTTGTCCGGCCTATTTTTGGTTTGTGCGATTTTTTTCTAATTGAGTAAATTAAATCACCAAATATTGAAAATCAATTGACTGACTGACTGTCAAAGTAAGGAATTATAAACGAAAATCATGTAAAAAAAAATTTCACATTACGAAAAAAGACTTTTTAATTACCAGAAGTAAATAATCATGTAAACAAAAGGTTGATATTATTTCAAATCTGCAATAGGCGCAATTTATCCTTATCATAAGTCCATATTTTTTTCTATTAACAGTAAGTTCATAAAATCAGAAGAATGAAACTTAAATAGGTAAGGTTTAGTGTTTTAAAAAAAAAAAA